TCTTTACACATTCACGCATGGCTTCCTTGGCTCTCCCACATCCCTGATTTTCAGTTTTGTTTTGTTTTGAGACAGGATCTTGCTCTATAGCCCCAGCTGGCCTGGTCCATGCCATGCTGCAGAATTTGTCTTCCATCTCTGATGATCCTGTCTCAAGTCTCTTGCTTCTTGAGATAATGGGCAAGTACTACCACACTGCTCTACCTCTGAGTTTTTGTGACTCCCCAGGTCTTACCTGTGTAGGTCATTCCTACAGGCAGGATTTGCGCTTACCAGCTTGGCTTTATTATTCACCACCCCTGTGTTATTATTTAACCTTTCTTGTTCATAAGTGCTCTGTAGGGTGGATCTTAAGCTCCTTAGGGCAAGAATTGCTCACAGGCCCAGAGCATTCCTCTGCACATTACAGAGACTCAGTGACTATGTAGAGAAAGAATGCTGGTGTTGAATGAATGGGAGTGGGGAGAAAAAAGTAAGCAGACAGACCAAGACAAAGGCTTCTCTCTTCATGGTCCTCCATCCACATGTGGCTCAGTACTCCTGATGACACTTCACAGCACATCAGGATTGTGCATTGTTTTTTGCTTGCGCTTGACTTGAGGGTTTGTTGTGTGCCTTTTCCTGGGGGAGATGTGGACAAGTATCTATTCATCCCAGATAGGGCAATGATAATAGACAAAAAAAAAATCGTTCCACTGAAGTCTGGTTTAGTGAACTAGTGTGTTTATCTGGGCTTCCTTACAGGAGCATGGGTGACTCAAAGGCAGCTGTGTCACTGAAAAGCTCACCCAGCATGGGTGACGGCTCAGTTCAAGCCACATCCCTGGACCTCCCCGTACACAATTTGTAGGCAGCTGCACTGGATGCAGTCTTCTCTTCCCAACAGAATTGTTTACTGTGTACCTAACCTTAGGAAGTGCTCTTGTGCATCTTGTAACTTTTTGAGTTTTCCAAGCATTATAAATTTAGTTAGCTTCTCAAGTCTTAAGAGGCTCCCTCTTCCCTCTCTCTCGGGAAATGTTTCAGTTGGGAGGAAATGGCTACACAAAACAAGGTTTCATTGTAGACAGAAGGCAGACATAGATTCCAAGAACCACCTGCCTGAGGAGAAAGTTAGATGCCCAAGTTTAACTTGAGAGTCTAACAAAAGAGAAGGCCCTTCCGGGTGACCTATACGCTCCAGGAAGTCACCTGAGCTCATAACTGGGAAGACGCTTTAGCCTAAAGAATTTAGGAGACTGTCTATACAAGCAGAGAGGTGACTCATGCCACCAAACCGGGAGATCAACTATCTGTCTTAAGACAGGCCTGAGAAGACAGGGAGGCAGATTATATAGAATTATACCCTTTTGTGACCTACAAGGATCTCAGAGACTATTGTCAAAAACATCCTCAAGAAGCCAGGGAGACTTGCATGTCTTTTATCCCCAGCAATCTGGAGGCAGAGGCAGGCAGGTTTCTGTGAGTTCCAGGCCAGCCTGATCTATGTTCTGGGACAGCCAGGGCTACATAGGGGGACCCTGTCTCAAAAACAGCAACAAACAGATACCACCACCACAAAGTACCCCTCACATACACCTACCAACTGCCTCCACCCTTGACCCTCCTCTCCTTGTCCGCTTTCCCCAGACACACAGGTCCTCAGGCCACTACTGCCCCACCTCACAGCATTCCTTCCCCACCCCACCCCCACCTACACCTGCCTCCTCCCCACCTCTACCCCCCCCCAGCTTCCTGTCATCTCCCTGTCCACCCAGCTGTCCTCCCAGCCCAGCCTCACTCTGCACTGCTGGAGCTGTTGTGGACTTCAGGCTCCCTTTTCACTGTAGGCCACTAAGACTTTTTTAAGAGCCCATGGCCCAGCAGGCCCAGGGACTGGCTGCCAAGCCTGAAGACCTGACTTGGACCCCTGGGAAGAGGGTTGGTGAAAGGAGAGAACTGAGTGCTGCAAGTTGTCATCCTCTGACTTCCAAACACACGGCATGGTGCTCGAGTGTCCAGTGCTCCCACAGAACAAACAAGTCCCATAATTTAAAATATACCCTCTTAAAAAGCAAAATCTGTCTCTTCTTGTCAGTGTTTGGAGATCAACAGGCTCTCCCAGCAAAGAAATATGGAGACATTTGTCTGAAGATTTTGGTTGTTGTTTGTAAAATTAGACCCATCATTTCAGTTCAGTGCTTGTCTCTTTACCTATGGGGACAATAGTTTCTTTGTGTTTCTTTGGTGTTTACTATGTGTCACTCTGTTAGGTGCTGAGGGGTGTGCTTGTGTAGAAAGGATTAAGACCCTTGCATGCTGTCAAAGAGCTGGGTGTTGGAGGCAGGCCTCCGAGAGAACAATGGAAGGCAGTATGTGATTCAGACAAAAATAAGTAGTGCAAGCAATAAATGCTATACAAGTTTTGAGGAGGGAGGGGGATCTGGGAACGGGGTGGGGGACTGAGAAGAGTGTGAGTTTCCATGGGTGTTGGAGGATGCTTTGCTTCCGCAGATGTGGGGGAGGGCACAGAAGTGAAGTGTGTTACCCACACACTTAAAGGCACATGCAAACGCCCGGCTTGCTAACAGTCTTCAGTGGATACTTTCTATGTATCAGACACCAAAAAAAGTTTTACAGAGTTCAGCTCATTTGAATGTGCATAACCCTATGAATTAGATAGCACTATCTTTCAATTAATAGATAAGAAATGGAAGCAATGAGAGGTTGGGCAAATTACTCAAGGCTACAGAAGTAACTGGCATACATAGGATTAGTTAGAATATGCATCTTTTAATCATTTTTAAAGATTAATTGGTTTTTATTTTATGTGTATGGGTGTTTTGCCTGCATGCATGTGTGTTCACCACATGCTTACCTGGTGACCAGAGGCCCGAAGAAGGTGTCAGATACTCTGGAACTGGAGTTACAGATGGTTGTAAGCCACCATATGGGTGCTGGGCATTGAACCCAGGTCCTCTGCTAGAATAACAAAAACTGTTAACCATTGAGCCATCTGTCCAGCCCAGAATGTACATTTTAAAAACATTTTGGGGGGCTAAAGAGATGGTTCAGCGGTTAAAAGCACTGGCAACTCTTGCAGAAGACCCAGATATGATTCCTAGCAGCGACACAGTGGCTCACACTTTAGTCCTCTGTGGGAATCAGGCACACGGAAGTGGTGCTCAGACATACATGCAGGTAAAACATTCATGCACATATAATAAAAATAAATAAAATATTGAAGAAAAACCCACTTTGTCTAACCTATGAAAAAAGAAAAAGGAATTTGTGGCTTAGATCAAGAAGTTGGCTTGGTTCCAGTCATGAAAGACAGTCCCTTTTTTTTTGCGGGCACAGGAGTGGCTAGGCCAGATTCCCTCCTGAAGGTCAGCATGGAAATGAGAGGGATTAATGAAGCCATTACTGAGAGCTATACCCTCATCTTTACTTCTTTGAAGATAGGAACGTGAGGCCGCCAGATGCTGCATTCCACAGCCAGGAGCTCCCTTGCCTTGTTCTTTGGTCATATTGCTGAGATTTAGCAAAACACCTAAGGAGAGCCAGTGAGCCTCTGAACTGAGTCTTGTTTGTTGCCATTCTTTATTAATTAGCACTTGGAAAACATCCTGCCTATGGTGGATGCTTCACAAAGCTTGAAGTCAGAGGAGCTTGCCTGGCTGTATTTGTTAGGTTGGAAAGGATGGGAGGGTATTGGCCTGATAAAACAGACGACTGTGTTTTACATTTTAAGACTGGCATGCAGCCAACATCTGAAAGTGTTTCCTAGGCAAGGTGCCTAACCGCGTTTTTTCTGGATATTCTTCTAACTTATGTGAGTCTTCAATAAATATTAAACCAATATATGGTACATTCTGAGTAGTCCTTTCCTTAATTCTTGATCCTAAGAAGAGCCAACACAGTCACTAAGTAGAAAGTGCCAGGGAAGAGGGGGCCCCTGGACACTAGCTAGCACTCACTTTGGCCAGGCTGCTTTTTCCAAGGCGGGGTTAGGAAGCAGCTGCTCTCATTTGGGGAGGGAGGAGGGGGAGAGGTCAGGAGACTTCCTTTCCTGCAGCTAGTCTTTCACGGACTGCACGCGGTGGAAGATAGGGAGCCTGAGAGGGAGACTGAGAGGGAGGGAGACACACAGAGAGGCAGAAACCGAGAGACACAAAGAGACAGACAAAGAGAGAGGCAGAGTGAGAGAGAGAGAGACAGAGAGAGAAATAGAGAGAGAAAGAGAGGGAGGGAGAGAGGTACAGAGAAACGGGGGCGGGGAGGGAGAGAGCAAGAGAGGGCTAGGGTGGTTTGTGTAGCTGGAGGAGAGAGGAAAAACATCAGAACTGGCTTAGAGGAAGTCCAGGGAGAAGCCCCCAACTTAGGCACTGAAGTAGGAAGTGAGGCTGTAACTAGAAGGGGCGAGGGACGATACTCTTATGGTCTTTTAACAATGTCCCATTTCAAGGCGGAAAGGAGGAAGCGGGAAGACCATACCCAGCACACTCCAAAAGTCAAAACCTGTCCAGTAGTTTTGCAGCCTTACTCCTAAAAGTTAGTGAGGGCCAGCTGAGTGCCTAGTGTGTGTCCAGGTGTACAAAGGAGTGATCTGAGAACCGGGTCACCTGAGGAGTTAGTCCACCAGGCTTAGGCGGGGAGGTGAATTGAGTCACAGTGGCGAAGGAGCAAAGCTGTGTACGCGTGCACGCATCGAGTGCAGAAGACCAGGCAAGGAGAAGACGGAGGAAAGAGGCAGGGATGGGGCCTCGGGAGGGCAGCAGAGTGGAGGGGGAGATGAGAGGAAGCAGGGCGGGGGGGGGGCGGGGGCGGGGGGGGGGAGGGAGTCGAGGACGAAGTGGAGGGAAGACAGCGAGGCGGGGCAGTGGTGGCTTGAGGACGTGTGCATGTGAGGGGGGGGGGACGGGGGTGGTGGTGATGGTGAAGTGGACGGGAGGAGGGCCTAAGGTGGAGGGAGTTGACGACGAGGGGGAGGAGAGAGGGAGGGGAAACCGGAGGAAGCGAGCGGCGGCTGCTGGGGGAGGAAGGCAGGGAGGAGGAGCCGTGAGCCGCGGCGGTGGCGGCGGCTGCTGCAGCCGCCTGGGGAGCCCAGCCCAGTGCCGCCTGGGGCTGCGGGAAGTGCGGGGAGACGGAGCGATCGGTCGAGCCCGGGCGGCGGGGCCGAGCAGCGGGTGAGTGGAGCCCCAAGGGGACGCGGCGGCCCGTCTCTGGGGGCCGGGCGAAGAGGAGCGGGAAGATGCGGCGGCGGCGGGGCGGAGGGTGGCGGCCCCATGGCTCGGCCCCTGGCTGGCCCCGCTTCCCCGCCCTCCCTCTCAGTTTCCTCCCGTCGCCCGCCTGCGCCTAAGGGGCTGGTCCCGGGCGGGCCGCGGGCTGAGGGTGGCGCTGGCCCGGAGGGCGGGCGTGATGGGCCAGGGGGGGTGGAGCTGGTGGCTCGGGGTGTACCCGGGGGCGGGAGGTTGGACCGGGACCGCTCTAAATTGGCTGGAGAGGGGGCCCCGTCGGCGGCGAAGTTGCTAGCTGGGGGCAGAGACGGCCACGCGGTTGCAGGAGTAAGACATCCCCCTCTCGTGGAGTGCGTGAGACGAGGAGTCCGGCGTCCCTGCCCTCCCCGTCGCCCTCCCCGCCTGCCCAGCCCTGCTAGCTCCTCTCCTAGCCTCCGGTGTCCCCTCTCTCTCACCCCCGCTCCCCCCCCCCCCCACACCGCCTCCTGCTTGGCTCCCTCGGCAGTGCCGGGTCCCCTAGGTCCCCGCCCTGACCCTCTCGGCCCTCCAACTTCCCTCGACCCCTGCTTGCTTGGCCACGACTCCTGTTCCCCTTTTCTTCCCTCGCTAGTTATCCCTCCCCGCTTCGTTAATTCCCGTGCAATTGCCTCTTTGAGACCTTTTTTTCCTCTCCTTCCTTTTAGATTGGCCAACGGCTCCTTTCAACCCTGCCTCGTTGGTGGCCACTGGAGAAGCGCGGGGGGCTCCCCAGACAGCCGTGGGGACAAGTTAGAGCCAGCACTTTACCCCGGGCCTCGCGTGTAGCTTTCCCTCCCCTGTTCTAGGTGCCCCAGTGTCCAGAGGGGGGTGCGGGTGTGCCCTCCTTAATGTTCCACCGCCCGGGCAACCCTTCGGTCTCGTGTTCCATCTCGCTCTTGCTTCCTGTACCGTAGTCAAGTGGAGCCACTTTGCATCATGTCCCGGTATAGCTACCAAAGTCTCCTGGACTGGCTCTATGGGGGTGTCGACCCCAGTTTTGCAGGCAATGGGGGCCCCGACTGTGCTGCCTTCCTGTCTTGGCAGCAGCGGCTGCTGGAAAGTGTGGTGGTCCTGACCCTGGCCCTGTTGGAGATCCTGGTGGCCCTTCGGCACATCCTGAGGCAGACGGAGGACGGTAGGGGTGGCCGTGGCAGCCAGCCACAGCAGGTGACCCAGCGGCCAGAGGAAGGCAAGGAGAGCCTGAGCAAGAATCTGCTCTTAGTAGCCCTGTGCCTGATCTTCGGGGTGGAGGTGGGCTTTAAGTTCGCCACCAAGACCGTCATCTACCTGCTCAACCCTTGTCACCTGGTCACCATGATGCATGTGAGTCTGTTGACTTTTTCCTGGGCAGCCTAAGTGATAAAAGTCATTTGTGTGCTCAGGACACTAGTGTAGAGAGCACTTTGTCCCCTTGGGAAGTGGGACCCTTAAAAATGGTTTTCCAAACAGCGGCTGCCTTTGTGCTAACTTGAGAGTTGCACAATGGATCAGCCCTACAGCGGAGGTAAAGAGCCCTAGAAACGACTTGCACTCCGAGCCCCATGCCCCCCCCCCCGCCCTCCTCCCCTCCCCCTCCCCCTCCCCCTCCCCCCTCCCCCTTCCTCCCTCCAGCTCCCAGCCCCGCTGGGGCCTGGCCTTTTCACCAGCAGGAAGTCCAACCCCAGCTAGGTGCCCCTTCAGAATCACATCTGTGGCCCATGGCCCAGCCCTCTTGCCTTTTGCAGTAGTTTCCCTGGGGCCTGGTTACATGCTTTCCTGGAGGTGGTTACACAAGCTTCCTTGTCTCCACTGTGGTACATTGGGGGAATACTTTTAGGGGTTTCTCTTAAGGACTCTTTCATTTGGGAGTTTATGCTCTTAGGGCGAGGTCTGCTTTTGGGTTGTGAGAAGCTTGAGCAACCCAAAGCTGCTAAGAGCTCTCTGAACTGGGCTCCATGCTGATTTGTGAACTTTAGGTTGGAGATCGCGATTGGAGGTGAGAGGGAATTTACTTTTTTCAAACCTGATTCTCTGATTCTGTCCTCTGGTCATGCTCCAAGGGTACTCAGAGAGCTGATTTCTTTTGCTCTCCTGACCTCTATTCATTAGTTATGCTAAGGCGAACAAATGGTCTTGAAGGGGGAAATTGCCAGCAAGGTACACATAATCTGTGTGAGGACCAAAGAGGGAGACTTCTCTACTCAGCCTGGTCAGGGATATTCTGAAGCTATAAATTCATGGGAACGAGGAGAAAGGGAGAACGGGAAAGCAATTAGGTCTTTTTACATTCCCGGCTGTGGAAAACTTTGTGTGTTTTACTGGGGGTAGTTTTGAAGGCTGTCTTTAGCATCTTTATTGCTTTTATATTTGTTGAAGGTTGTTCTCAGGAGAATGCGGACAATTCTGCTTAGAGCAGGAGGTTGAGATTATTATCCTCACTTTACAGCCCCTGCAGGGTTCAAGGATAGAGGTCGCTTGCCTCAAGGCAAAAGATGGATTAGAATCAGGGATGGAAGCGAACTCCTTTGGAGTTGCAAACCTTCAGCTCTCAACTCGGGGTGGCAGAGGGTGGTAAGGCCAGCCTGTAGGACTTTGCTGTATACTTGGGGCTCATATATTTGGTAGCTCACTTTGCCTGGAAATCCATTTGGTTACACATTCTTGGCCTCAGTTTCTTGATCTATAAAATGAGAATGACCTTGGCCCCTTGGCATCTTGTAGATGGTAAGAAGGTGTAGATGGCTCTGGAATAAAGTGGACGTTGTTGATTGGGTCCCTAAAAAGCATGGAAAAGAGTTGGGGTAAGATGGGGTAGGCAGCAGTTTTTTTTTTTTTTTAGGGCTTCTTGTGAAGGGGTGCCATGCACAGCAAGTCCAGGGTTGTCCTAGCTAGACCTTCTGTGCAGATTTGACCGGTCCTCTTTCTTTTCTTTTGAAATGAATGGCCTTTTTGTTAATGAGAGGAAACAATGCGTCTGAGCTGCTGTTGTGTATGCCTCTTCAGACAGGAGTGCTTTTTTAGGACGGCAGGTGGTAAGGGTCAGAGGGTACCTCTACAAAGGGGTCTTGAGGCCTCTGGCAACCACAGATCTGGAAGGTCAACCAAGGGCTAAATTCAGCCTCACTGGGGCTGCTACTGGTGTGATGATGACATCAAACCTGGCAACGACCATGATTTTTAAAGGAAAGATTTTAGAGGCTTTTAGAAGACTCTGGAGACCTACTTCTGGAATTAATTAGTTGTATGGCTTTGGGGAAAGTCCCCTTTCTGGGCCTCAGTTTCTCTACCTGTAAGATGGAACAGAATTGTACTCCTAACCCTCGACAGTCTGTTCTGTGATTCTTTGTCCCATAGCTAATGGGACTATGACAAAAGCCTTTGAAAGGCTTTTGACTTCCTTGTGCAAAAAAGAGAAATTGGTCTCCTCTGTGGAGGTCAGGTAGCCAGTCAGTTCACCCTTAGCTTTTGCTCCACATGGCTCCCAGTAAAGTAAAATTGTTGAGGCGACCTTCGGGGTCACATGCACTTGATGTCAGGACAGATAGATGTTTGGGTGACTACAGGCTGATTTCTTGTCCTCATGTGTGGGTTTTTTTTCCTTAGCTTTTGCCCTGAAGCTATAGGGTGGACGCAGGGAAAGGACTCATGCTGATACATTCTTGCAGTGTCCTGGGGACACTGTACTCCTTTGTCCTCTGTCCCCAATCACTGCTTTGTACCCTACTAAGGTCCTACGTCGGCTTTGGTACATCTAACTTTCTAGTGCCTTCTATGTAGCTCTTCGTTAGAACCTGGACTGTATAGATTTTTGAAAGTTGATGAGAGTCGGTTAAAAAAAAATTAACAGCAGATGGTAGCAACCAGTGTTATGACGTGGAAGCAGAAATGACTAATGATAGTTTGGAGGACTACTAATACCTTACATTTATCTAGCACTTTACTGCTCACAGGCACTTTAATATGCATTATCTTATTCGAGGTTGTGATAGATCAGCTTAGGCCCGGAGAAAAAGATGTTAAAATGTTTTCTGTGATTGTGTCTATTGCAAAGGGGAGATATTATGAATCAGTAAATGCTTTTTGCAAGTGAATTAGATGAATTAGGCTTTAATGCAGCAACAGACCTCGGAGATTAGAAGTACTGACCAGGCAAGGGGGATGTTAGCTGAAGTGAAAAGGGGTTTCAAGGTGGACATGCTTATGTTTGATAGTGTCTCTTAACTCCATGACTCCATTTTGGCTTTCTAGAAAGTTCTTTTCCAGTAGAATCACTAAGTGTAACAAGGGCCATGTTACTTTACGCCAGGAAGTAGAGGAGTTGGAGGGAAATTGGTTCCTTTCTCCAGCTCTCATTTTTCAGTCTGCAAAATATTCGTTTGCAACGCCTTGTTACACAGACCCTCCTCGTCAGAGCCATGCTGCCTTTGGGTGGCTGCCAACGGTAGTAACATAAGGAAGGGCATAACTTGCGTCTGAATTCTGTCCCTGATTAACATTCCTGCTGTTGAGTTTCTTTTTGGTCTCATGTGATTTCTCTGAGGTTTGAGGATTGTAGATTGATAGTGGCTTGGAGGATTACATTGGTACCAGCCCACAGCTCAGTTCCAGCTGAAGGTGCAAGTGCCCAGGTTAGCACAGCATTGTTAAACCCTGTGCTAAATATCAGGTCTGTCTGCCAACTACACCAATAAGGATTTCTTCAAGCATGGCCACTCAATCCTCTTTTGCCCATGAATCTTGGCAGGTATGCATTCCGGGGAATGAACCTACTGAGCCATTGGTCTGTTTATCCAAAAATCTCCCAGCAGTTTAGTGGCACAGGTGGCTTTAAATCTCAGCTGCCACAGTGGGAATCTCGGATTAGTCGGGAGAGATTCTTGTAGCTGTTTAAGTCTGAAAAAATCTACAGTTTCTCAGTAGAAGAGTTAAAATGCCAGACAGGCTAGATGTGATGGCGAATGCCTGCAATCTCATTACCAGGAGGTTTAGGTAGGGGGATGGCAAGTTCAAGGCCAGTATGACCTACATAATGAGACTCAAATACAAATACAGTCTGGTTGGTTGTGTCTGTAAAGAATAGGGGTCTACAACTAACTTTAACATATTGGTTCTTTGTTTTCTTTCTTCTTTGGTTCTTTTAATACATCTTAACTTACATTATTTTTCTTGAATACAATTATGTTGTGTTTGTCTTAAGAACTTAATGAAAAGATCTCCTTTTTCATGCTTTGTTTAATTGCAAAATTTCTTTGGGTTCTGAATGTGTCTGTGTTAACATCCGGTTAGGTGCTGAACTTAGCCAGGTACAACATTTGCAGCTTAATCTTCAATGCCTGTACACAGGAAGCGGGCCAGGCATTCAGCAAATTATAATTCATGATAATTGACCTGTAGCTCCCAGCCAGTACTTAATTTTTTAAAAATTTTGGTCAGTAATTCCGAGCCCCCTCTTGTTTTGTAAATTTACTTTATTAGTGTGTGTGTGTGTGTGTGTGTGTGTGTGTGTGTGTGTGTGTGTGTGTGTGTGTGTGTGTGACATACCACAGTGCATACACAGAGGTCAGAGGACACCTTCCAGATGTTGGATATCCTACACATCTACTCTAGGTCCTGGGACTTGAGCTCAGGTTGTCAAGCTTGCATGACAAGCACTTTTATTCTCGGAGTCGTCTCATTTTAGAATTGTGTTGCTTATTACATATTCTGCCTTTAAAAATATATATAATATATTAGAGGTTTGATTTCTACCAGACAGGGCTTTCCTGCCTTGGGTTTGCTAAAGTTTAATCCCCCATCTTTTCTTTCTCTCTTTTTCTTTCCCTCTCTTCATCCCTCCCTCCCTCCCTCTCTCCCCCCTCCCTCCCTCCCTCCCTCCCTCCTCCCTCCCTCCTCCCTCCCCCCCTCCCTTTCTCCCTCCCTTCCTTCCACACGAGAACTCACCATGTTGCTCTTGCTGGCCTGGAGCTCACTTTGCAGATGAAGCTGGTCTCAAACTCGCAGACATCTGCCTGCTTCTGCCTCCAGAGTGATGGGGAATAAAAATGTGGGCTCCATCTTACTAAAAGTATGGGGTGGTATATCTTCACAGATTCTGAGCTTTGGGCTGGGCTGGAGCCCAGTTGGAAGGGTATGTGTTTTGCACGCTTGGAACTCCAGGTTCCGGTCCCAGCACTTGATAAACCAGGCACGGTGGCACAGGCCTGCAATCACAGTACTGGGGAGGTGGAGAGAGGAGGAGTCAGAAGTTCAAGGTTATCTTCAGCTACAAAGCAAGATTGAGGACATTCTGGGATATATGAGACCCATCTCAAAAAACAGAAACAAAACGAAACCGAGTTTTTGGT